AGCCGCCCCGCTCTGAGCGCTCACGGCTCGTTGTTAAAGCGCGATGCTGTTCTCCGTTCCAGGGAAAGCAGAGAAGAAGAAATGGAAGGAAATGAAGCTACTGAAGAAACTGGAAAAACAGCGGATGCGGGAGCTGGCAGAAAAACAAGCCGAGAAGCAGCAGGAGCAGAAGGAGGACAAAGGTGATGCCGCTGTGACCCGGTGGGGAGAGGCCTGGGTTGAGAGAGCTGGGAGAACTTGGTCGTTAAGTCAGTTTGACGTATCGATAGAAAAGCTGACACTCAGCTTCATAGATCCGATATAGATCGAGCCACGTGCATAAACAGGCATGAACGCAATGCAGCGAGTACTGCACAAGAGACCTTTTTAGAAAAAGCCTACGATTAAAATCTAAGGAAAAGAGGTTCCTTAGGTTCCCACCACAACGGCAGTCAAAGTAGTAAATAAAATGCTGTACCCGCAGCTATTGCGCTGTGGCTCTTCTGATGGAACTCTGTTCCCCAGGCCGTCACTACACGCTGAGCGTAGCCCTGCCAGGCTCTATCTTGAACAATGCCCAGTCGCTGGAGCTGCGGACATACCTTGCTGGACAGATTGCTCGGGCCTGTGCCATCTTCTGTGTGGATGAGATCGTAGTGTTTGACGAGCATGGAGAAGATGCAAAGTAAGGAGGATCCATCTTGTTCTGCAGAAAGCATTTCCTCTCTGCTTTTTGCTTCTTCAAAGCCCAGGAAAGAACCGTGTGTACCTAAAGCAAATGTTTGACCCTCTCTCAAATGCCAGGCTTACAGGGACCCCTGTACCACTGGGCAAAGATGTTGACTTAACTGCCCTGGCAACTATTTCTTGGGGGTGGAGGAGGGAGGTGTGCTGCTAATTTCAAGTAAGGCTTGGTCTTCTGGAGACAACCATTTGGGGCTGTGCCGTCTCATGCTAAGTTCACAGACTGCTTTCTTTCTCTTTCAGGAGTGTGGAGGGAGACTTTGAAGGAATTGGGAAGAGAGGCAAGGCTTGCGTGCAGCTGGCTCGGATCCTGCAGTACTTGGAGTGCCCTCAGTAAGTCCACCATGGTCAGACCATGCATCAGATGTGCATCAGAACTGACTGCCATGGGTATCTCACACTAGGGGCTATGGGAGCAGGAGGCAAATTCTGTCTATATTGCATAATTATGCAGGAACACAGGACCTAATTGTTTCACATGTCTAGTTCAGGAGTATAAAAGGAGAGCAGTGACTGCAGAGTATCCTGACTGCAGGATACAACCTGCACGATACATTAGAGGTCGATCAGGGACTTGAGGGAGCTAAGCATGCTCTTCTCTGTACTCAGCTCCTTTGAGTCAGAACAGGGCTAGAACTGAGGCTTGGATTCCATAGGAACAACTGTGGTCATATTTCAACCTTCTCTGATAACAGGTACTTGAGGAAATCCTTTTTTCCAAAACACGAGGATCTGCAGTTTGCAGGTAATGATTCAGTTGTCTCTGTTCCAAGCTGCTAGCTCCCCCTTCCTGAGCTTTGGCGCTTGTTTTGCATGGGATGCACAGAATTGAGTAACTTTTCCCCACTTCAGAGTGTAGGTGAGGTGCTGTGGTATGCTGGACCAGAGAGGGAGGTGGCAGCAGAGCGGTTGTACTTACACCTCTGTTCCCACAGTTTGCGTCCTGTCCTTAGCAGATGCTTTCCTCTGTGCTCTTCTAGGGCTGCTCAACCCCCTGGACAGCCCCCACCACATGCGGGTGGATGAGGATTCGGAGTACCGAGAAGGCGTAGTGTTGGACCGGCCAACTAAACCAGGCAGAGGCTCTTTTGTTAACTGCGGGATGAGGAAGGTATGTCTGTTTGTAACCCACAGATCCTGAAACTATTTCCCCTGTCTCTCTGGCAGATGTGAAGCAGGCAGAGTGGGTACTGCTGGGTATCGGAAGGCCATAGCGGGCTGGCACGGGGTTTAATGCTGTTGCTGTCTTGTTCCTTCTGGCTCGTTAATGTTTGTAGCTTCCCAAGCCTTGGTGGGTCAGCCCATTCCAGCGCATCATTGCTTCACTGCTGGAGTTGAACCTTTGAGCAGCAAAATAAGTCTCAGGCTGCTGAGCAAAGCCACGCTGAGCCTGCTCTGCACTGCATGAACCACACAGGCCCTGATTGCAGAGCTGCTCATTTCAGATCCAGGCCAGAACAGACCCCACTTCCTCAGAGGGTTCCCTTCCTTCCCCGCCTTCCCCAGTACTTCCCAAGTGTCTGACACTGATGGTGACTGTCACTGCAGGAGGTGCAGATCGACAGACAGCTGAACCCCGGTCTGCGAGTCACTGTGCACCTGGAAGAACCCCAGAAGCCAGGTAATCCACTGCTCTGTTAGCATCTGTAAACTTCAGTCCTGCAGGAGTTGGTCCTTCAGATTACTAACGTTTGAAGGTACCCAACAGCTCTGCACGTTCCCTTTACTCCGCGCACAATTTTAGTAACACCCTGACCATACCTCCCTAGTTAACTGGAAAGAACTATCAGCTCTTTGGCCAACAATAGACAGCCCGAGCGTAATTGCATGCTTTCCAGAATGTGCTCAAAAGGGCGGTTCTTGGTTGTACACCAAGTCGGTGCCCTGCCCCAGGAGAAACTACTGTATGTGGCTGGTCAAACCCAGCTCTCACTAGGAGATCACAAGGGTTGTTAATCTCTCTGCTTTCCTTTCAGAAGCTAAAGTGCAGAAAGGCACCGTGGTGTCCTCGCACCACCCTCGGACGGTGTCAGGCTTGTACTGGGGTTACAGTGTCCGCCTTGCCTCCTGCTTGAGTAAGTATTTGCAGGGGTTCTCTGCTCTCCACCATGTCTCTGCCTGGGCTTCCAGACCAATTTCAGGCCTGTTGGTTGCACATCTGCAGCACACATTAACATCTCTCTCTGAAATCTCTTCCTGTCAAAGGCAGCTTACACGTGCAGCTGGCAGCCATGTGGCAATCAAATTTAAGGGCTAAAGCTAAGGGCATGAATCACCCCAGTCACCCACCAGTACTCTGCTCTGTACTTCCACTCACTGTTGTACAAATGTCCACATTGTAGCAGGAGACGAGCTGGTGCTCTCCACCTCCAGCCAGTACATCTCCATAGCCACAATAACTACCTCCCGCTTGTTCACATCAAAGCCAGCAGTGACATTTGAGCTCAAGCACCTTGCAAAATCCTTTTCCTGTCTTCTGATTGACTGGACCTCCTAGGAAAATCATAAGCCATTAGTCAAGGAATGGCCCCTGGCACCTGTTTGAGCTTTGAGGTAAAGGTGCTGCAGTTGAGAAGGGTGCCAGAGATTCCTGCAGCAAGGGAATTACATAGGAAAGGGCAATTGTTCTTCTGATGCACTAATGGCCATGAAAAGCAATTCCTTCTGCTGCTACCGCTCACCTGTGGAGCGTTTCGACCTGTCCAGAAGCCACACAGCACAGGCGAGGGCACCATGTGAATAACCCTGTATTGTGTTTGTTTCCCAGGTGCTGTCTTTTCAGAGTGCCCATTCAAGGAAGGCTACGATCTCTCTATTGGGACCTCGGAGCGGGGCAGCTCTGTGGACCAGGCCACTCTCCCCTCCTTCAGGTTCGTGTCCTGCCTGCTTGGCCCCCCTCAGAGCCCCTAGCAAGGCCTGGTGTAGGCAGCAGAGCTGCGCTGCGGCCTTGGTGTTCTGCTGGGCGAGAAAGCTCCTAGATAAAAGTGCAAGACTTGCCTGCAGGGTCCCTCCTGTACTCTGCTACTCCCTTTTGCACCAATGCACATTCCTCTGCATGACAGGAGCTGGGGGAAGTACCCCAGGACAAGGCCAATTCCTTTCCTGTTTCTCTGGAGTTGGTAGCAGGGACTGCTGCGTTGGCCCAGTGCTGTGGGGCTTTGTTAGAGAGGCAGCTGCATTGGGCCAGGGACACAGCTCCCTGCTTCAGTGGCACAGAGGAGCTCAAACACAGACCCAGATACCTGAACAAAAGAAAGGAGCCTGTTTCTTGCAGATAAAGTTAAGAGAACCGTTTGTGTGAAGCCAGTTCTTAATCCCCTCAAAGGTTCAAGGCACACGAGTAGCTCTCCTTGGTGCAGGGGTAAGAGCCAGCCTCCCCTCTCACCCCATCCCTGTGCTCTCCCCTAGGCATGCCCTTGTCGTGTTTGGGGGGCTCGAGGGCTTGGAAGCTGCGGTTGACGTGGACCCAAACCTGGAGGTCACTGACCCAAGCGTCTTGTTTGACTTCTACCTAAACACTTGTCCCAGCCAAGGCAGCAGAACCATCCGGACAGAGGTAGGGCAGGTGGCTGATGGTGCGGTAGGGCATGATGCCTGTGTACACAGAGCTGTGCTGCGTTTGTGCCTCTGGCAGTGACACACTCGGCCCACGTGTCATTCCCCACGGTGCTGCCTCAGCAAGGAGCGGCTGGCTTGTCTGGTGCTCCTCCAAGCAGTGGTTCCAACTGCTGCCTGGGTCTGTTCCAGGAGGCACTGCTGATCTCTCTATCTGCGCTGAGACCCCGTGTTGATGAGGCTGTGAAGACACGCAGCGACAGCTGAGGGAAGGAAAACCACTGACCTTGCGCTCAGCTGAGGACTGCCTCGGGGAAGCGGCTGTTCAAACGTGGGATGCTGGGCAAGTCACTCCGAGAGCCTGGCAGGACCAAGACACAGCATGGCCAAAGCTGGCAGCGCTGCTCAACCAAGTCTGCACCCTCTGCCTGCATGGTCCAGGCAGCCTGCCTTGTGGCCTCTCAGCAGCTGGGACAAGCTTGGCAGCAGACTGGGTTTTGGTAATTCAGATGTCTAGGGTGAGGAATAAAACAGTATGGAATCTCAGCTGCCTTGAAATCTGTGTGTAAGTGTCTTGGTGTAGAGGATGGGCACTCTGTGTCCAGAGATCCTGGGCACTCGGTGCCTCTGGAGCCATGTGGCCTTCAGACATAAAGGAAATCAAAACTAGTCCCTATGCCAAGAAGCTGTTCCTGTCCCAGAAACCCCTTCAACTCCAAGGCTTCATCCTTCCCAACAGCAGGAAGGGCTGGAGCTTCAGTTGGGCCTCAGCACTGAAGCACATCAGCAAAGCTCATTACAGCCTGGCTCCATCCATGATGCCTTAAGCTCTGCCTACAGTGAGCTCAAACAGGAAAACAGCTGGAAAAGTTGGCTCTGTCCTCCCCCCTCCTGCTGAGATAGTCAGAGCTTTAGTAAGAGCAGATAAGAAACAACCAATGCTATGGGTTTTCAAAGCTTTACTGCTAAAACCATCTTCTGAAAGAAAACAATCATACAATCCCTTAGCCACAGAAAGATGGGAACCTCTCCTCCCCCTGCACCCATCTTGCTCCCGTCCTTCCCTGCTAAATAGCAGAAATTAATAACTTCCCCCTATGGCTTAATGCTCCCTTTGTGTGGGGGGTGCGCTCTATACTGTGGATTAGGGGCAAATTCTAGAGACCTGCTACAATGTCAAGCACCTGGGAGCCTTCCCCAGGACCTGCCCTTGAGACCTGTGGGCACGTGTTTCACTGTCACACCAAACAAGGGGAAGGGGGAAGAGAAGCATTGGTTTGATTCTTATTTCCCACATTTAAAATTGCAGCAGGTGACTGCTGTCAGTCCCTTTGCAGGGGATACCTGGATTTGTTTAGCAGGGTTCAACGCTTGTTTCCAGCTGTGATGGCTTTCAAGTTAGTTGTTCTCTTCAAGATGTTTGGGACAAAGAGGAGCCCTGAGGCTCGCTCAATGCTCTCAATGGGAACCAGGAACCGTTCCAGGGGGATTTTCTCATCCACAGGGCTGTTGGGCATCACGTACGAGCGCAGCTCAATCTCCCCGCTCTCCTTTTCCAAGATGAGCACCTTGAAGAAATGGGTGGGGACGGCCACGTTGTTCTTCCCGATGACCTGGTACTTGACATACATCTTCCCATCGGCCTCCATCCTGCGCCAACGAAAACGTCCCAGCTTACCTCCTAGTCTTGTGTTTCCCCTCATCCCTCCACCCCCACCCCGAGTGAGCCCCCACCCTTCAGCGTGGCAGGGAACAACCCTACTTCTGCGGTAGGGGTGTAAAAACACTGCTGAAACGGGCTACCTCACATGGCGAGGCCGAGCTGTGAGTTGGGTCTGCTCCCCCCCGCCACCCCTTCCCCGCTGTCTCTAACAGCCTTTCCAAGCTGTTTCCTGCTGCTCAAGAAATCTCAACTCGTGACAGCTGCTTCTTAGCGCTACGTGAAGATCTTTGCAAATTAAGTTGTGCTCTTAAGTGCAGAAATAGTCCATGAAATAAAATCTAGAAGCTTTATTCTGCAGGGAAGGGGTCTGCAGTCTAATCTGTCAATCTAATCATCTAGTAATCTGCTACTATGAGATTGCTAAAGGACTGCAAACAAAAGTGACTTGGTTATGTTGCAGCTCAAGCAAGAAACCCGCTTTTACCCACAAAATAATCAACTGAATGGGAAATACACAAACTAATCCTAAGAAAGTACCTTTCCACAGAACCTCTGTGCCCAGCTGCTCTCACCCACCGAGCGGGGCCGTAGCAGATCGCTGCCCTTTGGGAGCAGCGGCGAGGTTGCACCCCCCCAGCCTGCTTTCCCTTCCCAGCATGATGCATCTTCCAAGCACGGTCCCAGCTTGGCTCCCGTGTTTACCTGGGCAGGTAAAGGGGTCCTGTGCAGACATAGACGTTCTTGTTGTTCTTTGCCAAGCTTCTGCTGTACTTCTCAAGGTTATTCCAGGCATTCTGGTTTAAATGCGGATCCTAGAAACACAACCAGGGCAACACACAGTCAGTCACTGGGGAATCTCTTCACTGTTCAGAGTAATAACACCTGCCTTTTCCGTAACACGTCCCACAGCATCCCGGGCACTTTCCAAAAGAGATCTCCACTATCGCTTCCGCTCCGGAAGCTGTGTATGGCGAGGTCCTGCCGTGCACGCCCAGGAACAGAACCCACTCGGCCTCAGGCCACGATTTTTTGCAAGCATCTGTCGGCCTGTTTAACTTTGCTCCTGCAAGGAGCTGCACCAAACGGCGTCTCATGGCTTGAGAGGAGCACGCAGGCAGGTGCGTTTGCAGGATCACCGTTAAGTTTAGCAGGAAATACAGCGCCTCGAGTGAATTTGGTCGCTTTGGGCCCTCTCTGCTGAACGGCTATAGGGACAAAAGACACGGAAGAGCCAGAGACGCTCCGAGGCGGTTTCCAGCAGGGAGCAGCGTTTGCCCTTGAACCCGGGCAGCTCCCCGCCTCCATCCGCCCC